AAAAAAGAAGTTTACATAGTACTCTTTGTGAAAATTGTTGGCCATTCCACTACTATTAAAATTCTATAAGTGATTCCGCCGATTTTCACTATGAAATTTTTACCCTTCAGCTGCGAACTACCCCTTAAATATTTTTACGGTCTGATAAGCAGAATCAAGCATTGGTTTTCAAATTTCATGTCTTGAGTTTCACAATTGAATTTAACTATTTTAGTATATTCATATATATGTATTATGATGATTTTGATGAGTTTCACAAACAATGACATTAAATCTGACCTTTTTTGTAAATCATATTTCTGTCAAATTTTTCTTTTTTTTTTGTTCGAATGAGAATTCCTCAATTTCTCATCGTTTTGAATATATTTTAACAAGTAATAAATGTATTTTTTAATTTTTTTAAAGTTAATATATTAATTTTTTATTGTTTTATTTTATTAGTGATATTCCAAGGCTCATTCTCATTTAACAATATTGGAGACAGTGCTTATTTTTTTGACGAAAACAATGAAAAAATTGGAGTTGGAATTCAAAAAATCAAAGAACAAAATACTATTTTTTATGCAGTTTATTTTATAAAAAACAATGAATATATAGATATTGATTCAAAAGTAAAATGTCAAGCTAATGATAAAATGTGTGAAAAATCTGTTCATTATGAAAATAAGGTTGCTTTTTTTAAAATCGAGGAGGAAAATACATCATTTAGTATTTTTTATAACAATATCAAAAAAATTCAATTTGTTAGAAATAGAAAAGATGAAAAATATACTATTTATAAAAATAGATTTAAGTATATTACTTAAAATGTTTTAATATTTCATTAATTATTTTTTTTGATGGTGAAACTTTATATTGATTTTTTTCAGAAATAAATTCAACATTTAAACCAAGTTTTTCAGATGCTTCTTTTAATTCTGGTCTGACGTAAAAAAAATTTTTGATTTTAACTTCATCTTGTTTAACAAAATTTGGCAGAATTTCATCAGTGGTGTTTTTTACAATTTTAATGTTTGCCATTTTTGGTTTAAGTTTTTTTATAAACTTAGGGCTGTATTTATACGAATTAATTTATTAATTTTATTAATATCAAATAATAAATTTAATAAATAATTTTATAACCATTTCTATTTCCAGTTTTCTTATCATGTTCCAATTTAAAGACTATTGTTTGCTGTTTCGCCTGTTCACTCATCCTACTGTTTATGAAGTAGTTGTATTAGCCACTCAAGCTAAAGAATAGCTTGAAACATATCGAGTCAAAGCGACTCAAATAGATTTAAATGATGGAACTGGAATAATTGATTTAGAGTTTCATCATGATTGAGAATTATGTGAATGTTCCCAGCCACATACATTAGAAAATGGGTGGATGAAAACTAATGGATTATTATATTTTCTATCGGAACATTTTGATAATTACAAATTCATGTGAAAATTTGCCTTTCTTAACCAACAAGCCAATCTGTATATAAAATTTCTTTTTATGTATTTTTAAATACATCTAATAAACTCATTTTGAGCTAGAAACTAGATTTTTTTTAACAATAAAAATACAAGGTCAAAAATTTAATTCATAACTAACTTGCTTCTGACAAAAAAACAATTATACTCTTGACATACAATAACAATAAACAATGACCCGCCCACTCAAATTAATAATCTATTACCTCCTGAAAAAAGTTCTATTGTATACCGAAACTTTGGTTTTAAAATAAAATTCTAAACCTTACCTAACTCAGGCTGCGCTAGGGTTTATTTTAAAAATACTTTTAATTAAAATATTCCTGTCCCGAATGGAATTACATGTCGGGACTTAACAAATAATATAACCAATTCCAAAATGCCAAGCACTGAATATTTTATGATTAATAACCAAACTAAATATATATTTATCTATTTCGGGCATCGTATCTGCGGCGTGACAACTAGAGCAAATAGAGGATTTCAAATTTATAAATACTGATTTATACTGATTTAAGTAATAGATTTTCTTGATCTGTGATTATCATACATAATACAATTAGTAATTTGTTTCACACATATCTATAGATAAATGAAACTATTAATTTATAAAATCATTCTTAACATAGATAAACTGTTTTTTTTTTTACTTTATTTATAAAACAGAAAATCTGAATGAGACATTTTCTATTTTGGGTTTAATTTGATTTTATTATAAATATTGTAGTTCTGCTTAGCAAAATCAATAATAAACTTTAATAATAACAATAAAAAATTAAAAATGCCTAGATTAAATTTTCTCGGCCCTAACAAACAAGTTCTTGAACTAGAAAGAACAAATTTTTTATTGAAAATCGAAACCTTACCACAACCAAAACATGCACGTGCTTTTTTCTTAAACAAAGATACTGAAGAAGAATGTGAAGTTCCAGAGGGGGTTAAATGTGCGGACAAGACAAATAATACTGAAAATACGAAAATGCCCTGTACCAAATATTTTTTAATCGTTCACCTGAACAAATATTATTTTTATTTTAACGATATAAAAAAAATTAGTTTAAAACCCGAACCTAAATCTTTTTTGATTCAATATTTTTAAATTATAAAAGATATAAATGACTAAATAGATATAAAAAATGATATTTATATTGATATTTGTATAAATTATTATAATTCTTTAAGACTAAGTTTATTTAAATTAAATTAGGTTTAACTCAGCATGACAAAATCTGAAATTAAGTTTAAGTGTTAAAAAAATTTAAGAAGTTATGTATTGTAATTCTTTTGTGTACAAATCTGAAATTAAGTTATGTATTACAATTCTTCTTGGCAAATCTAAAGTTAATTTGGAATTAAGTTTAAACATATATAATATTTATCAAAACTTTCTATTTTTAAAATTAACGCTATTTCTTAATTAAATCGATTTGATAACTTTAAAATAAATTTAAAATAGAAATATATAAAGACAATAAACGTAAAATAAAATATTAAAATTATATTTGTATTTATTAATGATGACCAGTTATCAGTCAAAAAAATAAAAAACATTTTTTAAAAATTAGACTTTAATAAATATTTTGAGAAAAAATATAGAAACAAGTATGTATATTTTATTAGTATTTTTTTTTTTAACATATAAACTAAGATAATATAGTTCTTTAAAATTAAAAGAAAGAAAAAAATGGCTAATAAAATTACAAGTATATTGAATTTCAAATAATTGAAGATATTAAAAACGAATAATTTTTATTATATTGTAATTGTAAATATTTATTAATAAATCTTAATAAAACATATTTTAAAACTTAATGGTTGGGGTGAGTTTGTTTATTGTAGCCTATGCTGCCACAAATGCTGCACTTATATTTTTTAGAAGAATCGTGTTTATGTTTGTGATTTCTAACAGCAACATGAGTACGTTTGTTATAACCAAACATGTTCACATCAGCAGCACGACAAATCGAACAACTTGTTTTTCTTCATTTGAATTGTTCACCAAAACTCAAACTAATAAAAACAAAAAACAAAAAAATAATTAAAATCTTGTTCTTATTCATATCTATTATAAATGATAAAAATATATATTTAATAATGTAAAAAAATGAAATAATAAAAAATAAAAATAAAAAAAAACAACCACCTTATTTTTTTCTTTTGATTATTAATTATATCAGATACATCAATTCTATTTATATATAATTATCGATATACGAATAAGTAAATTATTATGTACATGAGTAAAAACTATAAAAAAGGATTGATTTGCTTTTTTTTTTTTAATAAATCCGAATAAAATGATTAACATAAGTACTCATGTGCTTGTATTGTATTATGGTTGTTAAATTGAATTGAGCTAATTAATTTGTTGATTGCAGCTTATATTTCATATATTACAATTCTCTGATATATATTATCATTGGCATGTCTATTACAAATTAGTCATTTGGGTATATAAACATTGTTATGAAAATGTTTTCTTGGCTATTGTAGCATTATATTTGATAATGATAGTTTTTGGAAACTTGATTTATCTTTATAAAATAGGTTATGAAAATACTTATAAGACAATAATATAGATATTAATTTTTTATGTTTATTATAACATTGGATTTTGGTACATAATTATGTATTTCAGAAGTATTTTCTGGGATCTTTTAAGACCAGAATAAAAATATTAATAAAAATTAACTCTGATTAATTTTAATTATAGTAACTCATATTATTAATGAATTTCTTTATTTAGTTAAACTATAAAACACAAGAGCAAATATAAATCTTACTAAAAAAAAAAAATGAAAATAAAATCGAAAAAAAACTCTATTGCATTAAAAAAAAAATCTACTACAAAGAAACAGAAATGTTTTTAGCTAGTGCTATTAACGTTGGAAAAAAAATAATGATGGTGAATTAATTTATGATAACGATATTCAAGAATTTGAAAATTTACCATTCAAAATTAAAATTGAAACTATCGATGGAGAAGATAATTGTGTAAGATTATTTTTTTTAAATGATCAAGATAAAGAAAACAATATTCCAGACGGTATTATCTGTATTGATGTAACTTACAAAAGAAAACAAAGAAAATATCTGTTTCCTGAAACTAATTGTTTTTTGATTACATATCCGATGAAATATATTATTTATTATGATCCTGTAAAAAAAAAGAAAAACAACAAAAAAAACAAAAATTTATTCGATTAATTCTCAAAAAAATATAGTATTCATAACTTTAGAAAAACTAGTGAAATTTTAGAAGCCAAATGTGAAAAACATGAGAAAAAAGAAAATAAAAGATTAAGTGATGTAATTAATAGTATCACAGGTTTAGATTTAAATAATAGCGAATATGATGACAAAGATACTGATGACAATATAGATATAAAAAAAGAATAATTTAATTTATTTATATTTTATTGTTTTGTTTTTTTTATTTTATTTTATATTTTATTATATTATAAATAAATTTCTTATAAAATAAAACAAATAACTAAACTATATAACAAACCATATCTATCTTGAATATGTGATTCATGTAATGGATCGCGAAAATTAAAAATATAAAATTGTAAATATAAATTTCAAC